ACTACACAAAAAACAATATAGAAATAATATAAACACAATAACTATTTTTCCTTATAGTATTTTATAAATTCTGAAGAGTGAGAAATCACAATAAAGAAAATTTCCTTAAGGTATCCGACGACGTTCGGAACCGTGATGTTAAAAAGGCCCATAAATGGATAATTTTCATGATATTTAATTTCACTTGGATCAGAATACATGTATAAAATTGTTTTAAGGACATTTTGACAAAAAAAAAATATTTAAATACAATATTTCGGCAAAAAAGTAACTTAGAATAACCTTTCTTCAAAATGTTTTCCTTTTGTGAAAAATGCTTCCATTATAATAAAATTTTGCCTGTATATAACTCAAACCTCTGTACAGAGGCTCAACTATGACGTTTGAAAGATTCACATTATTTTCAGAGTTACAACCATTTAAAATAATAATCTGCGTTTTTTTCTTAAAATTTCTGCCCTCTGTTGTCATAAAACATGGATAAACTCACTTCTATGTTATATATTTCGAAACTTCTAGTTGAGCCTCTGTACAGAGGTCTGATATACATACAGGGAAAGTATTATAATAATAGAAGCATTTTTCACAAAAGGAGAGCATTTTAAAAATGGGTCATTCTATGTTCATTTTTTGTCAAAATATTGTACTTAAATAATTTTTTATTGTAATAATATTCTTAAAACAATTTTATATACATTTTCTAATCTAAGTAACGCTAAATATCATACATGTTATCCATTTATACTCTTTAGAAAAATCACGGTTCCGAACGTAGTCGGATACCTTAAGAAGAAGAAGGTGCTAGCTGAGATGTCGTCCCCGTCATTTGGTGGTCGTGGTAGCCTCTTGGTCAAGGTAACGGACTCTTGACCGGCATGCCATGAGATCGAGCCTCGTACCGCTGAAGTCCCACCATATTGAGGAGGGAAGGGGGTCGATTCATATTAAATTTGTTAAGTTTTAAACGTCCTTCCGTTGGTATGGTGTAAAAGTTAGGAGGGGGGGGGGCACATCAGGTCTCGTCATCTGATCATGGTTCAAAATTATGAGGTCCAAATCCAAAATTTAAAGCTCTCGAGTAGCTGTATTGTGCGTCGTAAATATTCACTAACTCACTCACTCAGTCCTATCACTTGACCGTAGCTCAAAATTACGAAGTGCGTGATTTTAGCCATGTTTAAAACTTAATGAGCGTAGAAAAAGAACTTTTATTTATAAGATTTGTAAAAAGAGAAAGGGAATCTGTGTGTGTCGGTCAAACATTTTTTGTATTTGTATACAAAACATTTTTTTTTCCTTTCAAATAGGGCTGTAGATTGGCAATTAGAATTACAGACAAAGCGAAGTTGGAATCGCCTTTTTTTATTTTATCAAGATATAGGTGGATACCAAATGCCACAATGCAGTTTTAGCGCTCAAATTCCTCCTCAGATAAGGGCACTTGAGCATTGATTAACCGAAATCGTACTATTCCCGAAAGCACCTAAGCTAAGCAGGCAATCTAGGCATCTCTTACACACCACATAATCATACGACAAGGACGTTGTCGATTTTCTGCATCATGCAAATTCTTAAAACAATTTTATATATTATTTCTAATCTAAGTGATACTAAATATCATAAATATTATCCATTTATACGTTTTTTGCAAAATCACGGTTCCGAACATAGTCGGATACCTTAAGACATTTAAAAGTAGAAACATCATTTGAATACTATTTTAACTACAAGACCTGTAGATACTATCTACTTATATACATACATACATATATATATACTGCATCATTTATTTTGTTTATATTTTGGGGGAGGATGTTCATATATTTCTTATGTTAGAATCCAATTTGTTTATTATTATTTTTTATTTTATTATACTAAATATATATATATATATATACAGAGAGAGAGAAAGAAAAAGAGAGAGTAATTAGAAGTGTACAGTGAAATAAGTTCTTAACAAAATAAACTCTTCAACGTTGATGAGGGTGAGTATATATATATATATATATATATATATATATATATATATAT